AATCGTCAAACACGTTAAAGTGATTTTCCGCTCACTGATGTCATCCTCTGTCAGTGTGGGTGTTTTGTTTGTTTGGATTACGGAAATGTGTGTGAAGATTTCTACAAATCTTCTACAAGCAAGGCTGCCAAGACAACAAAGATGCACTTGTGCTGTGACCTTGTGCTGCAACTTGGCACGTTGTTTTGCGTGCAAGCGCAACAAGTCTGCCGCTCCCCCCCCCCTCTGTCACGCAAGTAAGGTCGTGCACTTTCTTGCTTGTCGCTGAGGCATGCGGTGCTTGTCCTATCGTTTCACTGACGCTTTGGTGTGTTTTTGTTGCGTGTTGTGTTTGTTTCGATGCATGCATGGTGTGCAACAGACACTTGACAAGTGCTTGATGCGGATACGGATCGGAAACGCAGGACAGGCGTGACATGATGTGAGGTATCGGTAAGCAGAGATCAGGACCTAGTCTTCGTTTGCTTCGGAGCCGTCAGGCTGGCTCTCGTGAATAAGGCTCTGCTGCGCGGGGTTCTGTGCCACTTTGGTGCGGCTGCCGAACGGGTTCTTCCCCGACAAGTCTTCTGATCAGCAACAGGTACAGAGCATATGTCTATGTTGTGTGGCAACTGCATGTTGGCTGCACTCCTGTGTGCGCGTGCGTTCGTTCCTTTGTGTCTAATTGTGTGCTTGCATGCGCACCCTCATGCACAACTGTACGTGTTGACATGCTGTCCAGTGTCTGGCTGGTGCAGTCTCTGCTATATCTTTCTGTCTGCTCAACTTGACGTGCTTATCCGTAGCGGGCCTTCTTTGATTCCTTTGTGCTCCCCATCCACCCTGCGTCTTCTCGTGTGGCCGCAAGGGACAACTTGCGTGTCTTCCCAGCACTTTACACGGCGCCAAGATGCATCCAAGCCAGCGATCATGTGCGCTCTCGCCGTCGCTGGCAGTTTGGACTGCTACTGCTACTACCACTGCCGCTTGCAGCCATTGCTGGCGAGTGCCTCACAATTTGAGGTATAATGGCTATTGCGCACGTGGCTGGTGGCTGCACCCTCGCAGTGGCTTCAAGCAAACCATGCGACGCACGCACCATGTAAAGCACGCAACCACAACACTCCCACACGTGCGCGCGTTGTTTTCCTTCTCTTCGCTTTGTTTTCTTCCCACCCCTCCATGCGTGCGCGCACTCTGTGCACCTCACTGGCACCCAACCGACCGTTGTACTTGGGCGAGGTGCAGCGAACACTTGCCTGCCTGTTTGTTTTCCTTTTTTTTTTTGTTGTTGTTTTGCTTGGCTTGCATGCTTTGGTTGCAGCCTTGGTTGCTGTCATGCACTCTATGTTTGCTGTGTCAACTCTGCGCGCACACACAAACACACACTCACACACGCCATTTCTTTCTTCTCCCTTTGTTTTTGCTTTCTTCCCCGCACATTCAAGCACACGTACACACACACACACACACACACACACACACACACACACACACACACACACACACACACACACACACACACACACCTCAACGGTTTTTTTTCATTCGTCGTTGTTTTCCGTCGTCTGCACTCATTTTCACTTTGCTTGCTTGTCCACCACCACCACCACCACCGCTGTCACCAGCAGTACGAACAACAGCACCAACAGCACCAGCACCACAACCATCCCAGGACCTCACTTCAGTTGACACAAGTCTGACGCCGGCCCTGCCGTGTCTGCGTGCTCCACTTGAGCAGCAACACCATCGCTCAGTGTTGATCGTCGACAATGAATCGTGCGTGCGCTTGCGCCCCATGGCTCCTCACACACTTGCCTTCATTTCGACATGCATCGCGCACACTGCTCACACATATGCGCATGTGTTGGTGTTCGCTGTCGTGAACACACCTTCATATGTGAATGCACACGCCTGCATGCACGTCACCCTCTCATGCCTCCTCTTCATACCTGTGCGCAGCTCTGGACCACTCCTCCTTCGCCAAAAAGCTCGACGGCAGTGCCAACGATGGCGGCACTGACGTGCATGCAGGCATGTATGAGCAAGGCATCTCCTCACAAGCCACAGGTGCGTGTGTGCGTGTGCGTGTGCGTGTGTGTGTGTCACCATAGCCCACATATCCGCAGCACCTCGGCGCCGCTCTTGATTTGCTCCTCGCTCGCTCATGTCCTGCCCCTTTCCTATCTCACGCTGCGTCCTTCTATCCCCGTTCATGCTTGCATGCACATCCACATTCTCTCCATGTTGCTGTTGTCGTAGACGTTGACCTCCAGCCATCGCCCGGCACTTCCAGTGCAAAAGTAACAACAGATGGCAGTACACCGCTCCCTGCTGACCTCCAGTCCGTGGATAAAGCAGATGCCATGGCCAGCACTGCACACCGCAGTCTTGCGGGCCACGACACTGGTGAACCGCGTGCATGCATGCATGCATCCACCCCGGTCACGAGCACCGCCACCACCGGGTCCTCATCCTCGTCCTCCTCGTCCTCCTCGTCATCGTCATCTGCCCGGCTGACTTCAATGCTGGCGCGCACGCACCAGCAAGCTGGGGAGCACAACGGCAACACCCAGGCGCCAGCCACATCTCCAGCCGTTGGACCAGCACTGGTGGAGCACGCCACCGTGGCAGCCGAAGCCAACCAACGCGCTGGCACCCATCAAGCGCCCACCACGCTTGCCGTCGGCACACCTCCGCCGCCAGTTGTCGCCCCATCCCGTGGCGAAGGTGAGCCGGATGGCTCCGGCGATGCCGAGGACGTTGGATTGCACCATGGAGACGGTGGTAACGGCAGCAACGGCGATGGCAGCGACCATGCCGGCAGTGACAATGACGCCGATCACAGCAGCGTTTCCGTGTGGAGCTCCGACATCGTCAACACCAGCGGTCGCTACAACCTCAGCACCAGCACCAGCTCAGACAACGATGATAACACCCCTGCCAGGGACGGCAACCGGCACCGCCTTTACCGCCGCCACCACGGCCGTCATCGCCACCACCTCCGCAACGAGGATGGTGGTGCCTCTGGTGACGAAGCTGTTGGTGTCGCCCTGGGCGACAATGCAGGAGACGCGGGTTCCGACAGCGAAAACAGCCGCGACGGCCTTGAAAGCTACATTGAAATCTCCAGCGACCACTTTGGCGGCTTTGATGCCGGCCACCATGATGAGGAACGCGGTCATGTCGTCGACAATCGCGACGACATTGGTCATGCATATGAGGCTGATGACGATTATGAGGGCGACGATGACGACAGCTTTGATCATCCTCACAGCGGCTTGGACAACAACATCAACGACTTGGTTGAGCTTGGTGGCTTGCGTGGGATTGACGGAAACCGCAACGACCACCACAACAACAGCGACAGCGATGACGCAAACGACCACGAGCACGACCACGAGCACAACCACAACGTCTTCAACTTTGACTTCAACAGCTTTGGCTTCAACGACGACGCGTTCAACTTTGACTTCAGCAACGTTGACCTGAACGACCAACGCAACGACGACCCCGACGACCCCGACGACCTTCGGTTTGAGGAATACTACGTCGATGAGAGCACGGGCGTGCGTCGCGTCCTGAACCTGTCCGATATTGTGCTCCCGCACGGGGACAGGTCCACCCCTTCACTGAGCTCGGGCGAGATAGCCACCATCACCTCTGCCGTGTCCCTCAACCCGAGTCTCACGGAGGAGGAAGATGCCACAGAGGAGACGCCAATGAGCGATGATCCCAGGCCGCGCCGCCACAGCTTGGGCAGCCCGCCGGCCCCGCCAACACACCCGCGCCAGCACTGATGGTGCTGGCGCATTTCATGCATGCACCCCCATGTGCTCATGTCTTCGCTGGCTGGAATATGCCTAAGGTCTTGCTTTGACCACTTGCTGTTTGCACATCGACGTTGGTCACTGAATGAACTGTGGAGGGAAACGGGTGGATGGGTGGTGGGGGGTGAGTCCTATGATTGTGTGGGCTTGTTTTTTTTTTTTTCTCTCTCTGCCTCTGTCTTGGTTCTCTTTCCTTTTTGTTTTCTTCCTATGCTTGGCGTTTGTTCGCACTCCGTTCGTCCGTTATGTGTTCCTGAGAGCATGAGGGAGTTTCCCTCTCAATCAATGATATGCATGTCGTTCTTCTGAGCAACATCTTGTTGGAATGCCTGTTCGTGTCCTCGCAATTAAACGGCCTCAAACATGTGTACATCCACGGAGCTGATGGCATGAATTTATGCACAGGACATGGCACAACCTTCGTGCTTGCTTTATCATCCATGATGAAGCCATCGAAAACACATCCAAGCAACACACACACACACACCACACAAGCAGCAGCACCAAATAGGACAGAGCAGAAGGAAAGAAACCACACACACACACACTTCTTGTGCTTTTGTGCGCATGCACACGTGTGGAGACACAACCACACGCACACACACATACACATACGCACACATATACACATACACACGCACACATATACACGCACACTCTCACGCACACACGCAAGCGTGCTTTTCAGAGGCACGTTGTGACAGATTTGTGGCGGTTGATGCATGCGACGACGTTGCGCAGGGTTACGGCAGTGCCGAGCGGCATGTGGCGCGGGAACTTGCTGCGGTCGAGCGGGCAGGAGAAGTAGCGCGCACGTGTGGACGACACAAGTTGCTGGCAGCAGTGGCCGCAGAACGAGTGGCCGCAGGGCAGCGTCACGGGGTCTTCCATGGTGTCGAGACAGATGCCGCACTCCAACGCCGTGGCAAGCTGCGCAACCTGGCTTGGTGTCAGCTTGATTCTGCCATCCGCCCTGCCGGCTTGCAATTTGTTCTGGCAAATTCGGCCACGCTTTCCTGTGCACTTGGATGTGTCACGGTGGTCGGCACTGCTGTTGCTGTTGTTTGAGCTGGACGACCGGCGCCTCCATCCGAATGAACACCGCGATCGCCGCACAATGCCTGTGTCACCGCCGCCTGTACCATTGCCAGCACCATTCCTGCCGTGTTGCTGTTGTTGCTGTTGTTGCTGATGCTGATGGATCAGGTGTGCGGGCTGCAGTTCAACATGGTTGCTGTCCTCATCCTCATCTGCGTCCCCCGTTGGTGTCAATGCCTGCTGTGCATCTTGCCGCGTCGTGCCACCAAACGGAAGCCACCGCCCAAACACACGCACGCGCCGGCGCCGACGCTGCTGATTGCCATCATTGGTCGTGCCTGCAATGGTGACCCCACCTGCACGTGTGCTTGTAGCTGCATCCGCTGTCGTCACTGTTGCTGGTGTGGCTGTTGCCGATGTTGTGGTGGCAGTTGGTGCTGGCAGGGCCGCGCGGTGCACCATATTGGGTGTGCCTGGGTCCTGCAGCAGCTGACGTCGATCATCACCATCGCTGCCACCCTGCGTGCCGCGGCGGTGGTGGTGGCGCGGCTGCCGAAATTGGCGTTGTTGCTGCTGGTGCTGCTGATAAGGAGGAGGAGATAGGGGCGTGCGTGTGTTGTGCGGCACAACCTGGCGTCGCACAGCGGGGGAGCGGCCGGCTTGCAGGGGATTCGGTGGGTGGTGGCGCAGTGCATTTGGCGACACGACCAGCATCGTGTGTTCTGCATGCACGGGCAGGAAACAGGTTACAGATGTGTGTGTATGTATGTATGTATATATGTGTGTGTGTGAGTGTGTGTGTGTGTGTGCGTGTGTGTGTGTGTGCGTGTGTGTGTGTGTGTGTGTGTGAGGTTGGTTGCAGGTGAATTGAAAGCGTGGGGGGGGAGAAGACTGGAATGAGCGTGGTTGCGTTGACAAGCGCAAGAAGAAACTGGGAGGAGAGGGGCGAGGGGGAATCGGCTCTCAGCAAAGAAACGGCCTCCACCACTTGTAGGCGTGTGCGTACACACAAGTATACATGTACGCTTTACACACACACACACACACACACACACACACACACACACACACACACACACACACACACACACACACACACCACACACACACACACAAAGCACATAAGCAAACGCATGTACACACACACACACACACACATCAGCATGCGCACCGAGGGCCGTGAGGTAGTCGTATGCGGTGGGGCCGAGAACGACGCGACGCAGCAGCGATGATGGGCGAGCAACTTCCCGTGGCGTCTGGTTGTTGAAGTCACGCAGGAACATGTCTGCCCCGCAGTTGAGCAGCAGCTTCACCGCAGGCAGGTTGCCTGCGATGGAGGCGACGTGCAGCGGGGTCTGGCCCGTGTAGGCGCAGATGCTGTTGACGCGTGCGCCAGCGTGCAGCAGAGCAAACAGGATGGCGGTGCGCCTCGGCAATTCCGCCGCTGGCAATGAAACAGGAACACGGGAGGCACAGAAACGACACCGCAGGTACACGTGCGGGCAAAGAGGGGCAGTGTGAAGGGAAGAGGTGAGACGCTCGATTCACAGCACGCACGAACACATACAGTAGCACACATCGGAAACACATCCCTTGGTGCACAAGTAAACGCAGTTACAGACACATGCACACACAAACAGACACACACAAACAGACACACAGACACAGACACACAGGCACACAGACACACACACACACACACACGGACACACACACCAACACTCACCAAAGTGCAGGGCTGTCCAGCCGCAGGTGTTGGTTGCATTTGGGTTTGCGCCTTGGGCCAAGATCAGGCGCACGTGAAGGAGGTCATTGCGTTGGACAGAGGACAGCAAGATGCTGTTGAGGTGCTGGTGGGTCGGCATGCTGACCAGTGCTGCTGTTCCTGCAGATTGGCAAAGTCGCTAGCACTCCGGTGAAGCTGGCGCAGCGGCCAAAAGGGGCGTCCGAGGCGATGCAGAGGCTGTGCGTGCGTGCCCTTGTCGTGGACTGCAGCTCGACTCTTGTGGCGTGAAAGCGACGGCTGTTGCTGGCAGACCACCTCACAGGGGGCAAGGTGGAAAATAAGCAGCCAGTTGCCTCTCTCCCGGAAGCACTTGGCCAGCAGGCAGCAGCAGGTCAGGTGTCAGGATGCTGGTTCGCGTGAAGGTGTTGTGTTGACGCTCACGTTTTGGTCATCATCACCATCACCAACACATTCATTCCCCAGCACCAACTCAGTCTGTGCGCGAGTGTGTGAGTGTGTGTGTGTGCGAGAGAGAGTGTGTGTGTGCGTGTGAGTGAGTGTGAAGCTCTTTGTCCTTCGTCTCTTTGTGCAGGAACGCGTCAACATACAAGCACATCGACACGCCAACCAATGAAATCAATACATCAACGCATTCGCCATCCCTCGTCGTCAAAACGAGAGAGTGAATCAGCCACCATCCCCCGCACGCACAAACACACACACACACACATACACACACACACACACACACACACACACACACTGACCTGTAGCCTTTTGGTTTGTTCGCTTGCATGTTCGCTTCCAGACCCAGCAGCACCACAGCAGGCAACCAGTGTCATTTCCACACCGCTTGCTTGCTTGTGTACAGTCCTTCCGAACCAGTCCAGTGGCAAGGTCAAGTTTGCCTTTTGTAGTTGGTGGAGCAAAAAGGCAATTTTGCCTTTGTTTGAGGTAGACGAAAAATCGCGAAAGACGCCCTCTTTCTTTCCATCCAGCTCACCGCTCTCGCTCACTCTCCCATACAAGCGACAACAAGCGACAAGCAAAAGCAAACCAAAAAGCTCCGTCCACCAACCTCTGTGTGGCCACTGGCGTCTTGATACCCTTCCCTTGTCTATCCACCACACAACAGTTGAAGCCAACCAAACACCATGATCCTTCTTGAGGTCGAGAACCGCATCCTTTCGGAGGTGCTCTCCAGCCGCGCATCGGAGACAGAGGAGGTACGTTGTTGGCGTTTCTGGTGGATGTGTGCAAAGTTGCGTGTTTGTGTTTTGGTTTATGCTGAATAGGTGTGTGTCGTGTGCTTCCTTGCATGGTGAAGGTGTGCTTTCATCGACGCGTGGCATGTACGCGTGCATGTGACCCAGCGTGTGTATGTGTTTGTGTGTGTGTGTGTGCGTGTGTGTTTCTTACGCTCAGCCTTTCCATTTCCTTCCCTTCCGTCACCACACATACCCACGCCCTTCACCACTTGTTTACTTTGAGCAGATCGCCCCCGTGGACATGACGGTTGCCGACTTTGACGGCACCATGTATCATGTGTCCAACCCCGAGGGTGATGCCACCAAGGTCCTCGTCAGCATCTCCGTGCCTTTCTTCCACCAACTGCAGCAGTTTGACGTCGATTCGGTACGTCATCCCCCAACATGTTGTCGAACAACGGGTATGCGCCTGTTCTTCGTTTCAGTCTGTGCTGTTTGCCTCCGAATGGTTTCGCCTCATCCACCTCTCCTTCAACACACACACACACACACACACACACACACACACACACACACACGCACACACGCACACACACACACGCCTTTTGCAGTTCATGAAGGGCATCTACGGCGACATGGTCACCAGCCCCGAGAGCGGTAAGTTTTTTGTGGTCGTTGCTGCCGTTCCGGCATGGTTGTGTTGGTGTGTGGGGTTCTGCGTAATGCCGCTGCTGTTTGCAATGCATCCTCTCATGCCTGGTCGTGTGCGTCCTCCACGTGACGTGTGTGCGTGTGTGTGTGCTGAACGTATGGTTGCTTTTCAGGTTATGACTTCTCTCTGCTCGTGGACATCAGCAAGCTTGGCGCAAACCCTGGTCCGTGCACACGTGTGCTCTTGTGTGTTTGAGTGGGTGTGCATTCAGTTACTTCTCTGTGAGGGGATGCTAATTGAGGTATCATGTTTATGCGTTTGCCAGTGTTCTCCTTCACGCACCTTTGACATCTGCCCATGCACACATACTCATGTGCTTCATCGACTTGGCCGACTTGACCTGCTTTCTGGATCTTGTGGACCTGGGAACAGAGGTGACCATCTCCAACGTGGCCCGCCTTCGCCGCAACTGCTTCGCAGCCGTCTTCACCAAGTTCTTCCAGATGCAGAAGGTCGCCAAACACACACGCACACTCGCATCACGTGCTGTTCAAACACTCATTCACTCACGCTCACACTCGCTCACTGTCACACTTACACACACTTACACACTCACTCACACACGCACACACACACACACTCACTCACTTGAACACGCAGGACGGCAAGATGGACTCGATTGTGTTGAACTACAAGGAGAAGGAGACGATGTTCATCAACGCCATGAAGGACCGCGTCACCGTCATCTTCAGCACACTCTTCACAGACAAGGACGACATTGTCATCGGCAAAGTCTTCATGAAGGTGAGCCTGGCCGTTGTTTGTGTTAGTTTGTGTGTGTGTGTGTGTGCGTGTGTGTGTGGCGCGTGTGTGTGTGCACTTACGGTGTGGTGCGCGCGCGTATCTGTGTTTGTATATCTACTTGTGAATGTATGTGTGTGCCTGCGTTGAATTGTATGTGGAACAACTTGAGTTAACACGCTGTGCTTCATTCATCTCCCCCTTCCGGACACCGCAATACACCAGGCGTTCCAAGATGTGCGCGGGCGCAACCCGTCTGCGCCGCAGGTTCTGTTTGGTCACGCCAAGGATGTTCCACGCGAGCTCGAGGGCACCTCTGCACTCACCGGCGACAATGTCGGCTACGTCACCTTTGGTACGCCATGTTGGCGTGCGCATGAGAGGGGAGAGGGGTGCAGGCGGGCGTGCGCGGCAGCGTGTGGATAGAACTGGACGGAAACGTTTTCCTGACCTTGTTGTCTGTTTCACACACACACACACACACACACACAAACAAACAAACAAACAAACACACAAACAAACACACACACAAACAAACACACACACAAACACACACACACACACAAACAAACACACACACACACACACACACACACATGCTCACCACTGCTTCCAACGCCGCCAACGCCAACAGTGCTGTTCCCACGCCACATCTCGGACGATAAGATGGACCACACCATTGACCTGATCCACACGTTCCGTGACTACCTGCACTATCACATCAAGTGCTCAAAGGCCTACCTGCACCAGCGCATGCGCGCGCGCACATCGTCCCTGCTCAAGGTAACGACAGCACCAACTGTGTCAAGCACACGCGCTGCCCCTCATTGCCACGACGAACGACTCCCCCTGGCTCCCCTCCCCTCCCTCTGATTGCATATCACACCGGATGCCACTTTTATCCACGCTCACCTTGCCCCGTAACACCACTTCACCTGCCTCGCCTTTAACCCCCACAATCCAACACAACGTTGCTTGCTATTGCTTTGTGTTACAGGTGCTCAACCGCGCCCGCCCCGATGCAGAGAAGGAGAAGAAGACGGCAACCGGCCGAACGTTTGTGCGCAAGTGATCACTCCCCAACTTGCCGTCCCATTTGTCACCATCCCCCAACCATCAAACAACGCACCCGTACCAGTCACAAGTTCGCGCCCCCTTCAAATGTTGGGTGTGTGTTTGTTTGTCACTTTTTTCTCTTTGTCCCCTTTGCCGTCGTGTGTGTTGCATCTTTTCGTTGTTGCTTGCTTGTCTACGAAGCAGCAGTCTTTGTTAACCTCCACCCATCTGCGCCTGCCTGCAATTCAGGCTGCGCTCTTTGTCTCTATGTCTCATGATTGTCTCATGATGGTTGACGATGCTCGTGCGTTGTCGCTGTCATCTTGTGCGTAATTGTCTCTTCTGTTGTGTCCACGACTGTGCTGTTGTTTGTTTGTGAATGAAAGCAGACCAGCAAGTACCGCGCTGTTCATTATTGTGTTCCCCTTGCTTTGGCTGTTGGTTGGGAGACAGAGAGGCGTGCAAGCAGACACACATACCACACGCGCAATCATCGCACATAAACACCAGTCAGAGCAAGGACACTGCGAAATCCTGGTCTCGTCGTTTATTCCCTCAGCCCTCCTCCGCCCTCGCTCGCTCCCTCACACACACAATATAGACATACTGACACAGACACACACACACACACACACACACACACAGACAAAACATAGACATACAGACAGACAGACAGACACACACACACAGACACACACACACACACATGCTCATGTGATCCATCACGACAGAAAGAGTTCACGCCGCAGCAAATTGTCTGTCTTGTCCGTCACAGATGGCTTCAACGACGACGACGACGACGACGACGATGATGATGATGATGCCAATGTGAGGGCATCACGGTACGTGGTGGAGACATAGCCATCCTCGGCGTCCTGCACATCCGACAGCAAATATGCAGCCGGGTGCGGAAAGTAGCGCGACAAGTGGCTGAAGCTGACGATAAACTCCTCCGTCGTGATGCCCTCGGCCTCAAACTTCACCTCTTGCATCACCTGCGCGCGTGGGGTTGGCGAGTGAGGGTGGCAGGAAGGGTTCGATGAGGTGGTGAAGGGCGAGGCAGGAAAAGGACAGGCACGTAAGCCAAGCTTGGGGAAGTTGTAACGGCACGCACTGCAGCACACAAGCGACAAAGCTGCACACAGCACAACGCAGCACAACGCCACATACAAGCAAGGCCACAAACAAACACACACGCACACACGCATACACACATACACATGCACGCACACACACACGCATACACACACACACACACACACACACACACACACACACACACACACACACACACGCAGGCACGCACACACACACACACACACGCACGCACGCACGCACAAACACACGCACGCACAAACACCTACAGTGTCGTGTTCACTTACCATGTGCAGGACCATCCAGGCAAGCTCGTGAAAGCCTTGCGGCGCGCGCACCCAGACGTCAATCACGCTGCCACTCATACGCCCAAAGCACTCGACCATCTGAAACAACCCAGCAAACCCGGCGCGCCAAAGACTCATCGAGTCGCCAAAGAACGAGAACAGGCGGACTTGCACGCGCGGGAATAGGCCGGGTGGAAACACCATCCCGCTGCTGTCCTTGACAACGAGCCGCCGCCCAGCAAACACTTGCGCCGCGCCGTCAGGCTCCCATATGCGCGACGTGTTCGCTTCCAGGCGCGAGGGCAGCATGAACACGCGGTGGTGGCTGCCAATGCCGCGCTTGCTGCTTGCAAGCTCAAAGCACAGCAGCATGCTGGACAACACGTCCACCACCAAGTCTGCGGGCATGAGCTCGCCAAACACGTGCTTGATTTCATCAAACGTGACCTCCCCATCACGGGGGTTGAGGCGTTTGATGATGAAATGCTCTGGCGCAAGCGCGGGCCCAACAATGTTGCTGAGGAGCCACGACGGCGACACAAACACGTGCTCGCTCAGGGACGGCACGCTGCTGAACCACAGAATGTCCCCACGCACATGCAGGTAGCTGCACGTGGAGGCAAGAGATGGGGCAAGGGAGGGCGAGAAGGGAGCAGAGGAGAGAAAGGAGGGCAAAGCGGGTGTGAGTGGGCAGAACGAAACGCACACAAACCTGGTAACAAAGACGGCAACATGGCAGCATGTACATGAATAAACAACTACGATACACAGCCACGACCTGCGCCACAACGGCACACCACAAAGCCACAGCATGCAGCACCCAAATCGCGCAGCACACAGCGCAACACCGACCTGAGGGCCTTGGCGAAGATGGTGTCCGTGAGCCCTTGCATGTGTCGCAGATCTTCAACCGTTTCCTTGAGAAACGACTGCAGCTCCGTGATGCGCCAGGGCCCCGCATGCTTCTTGCGACACGCCTCCAGCCCATCCCCAATCAGCTCCACAACCTTGGGCACCTGGATGTCCTTCTGCACGACCTCCACCCACGCGCACCGCAGCAGCGAGCGAAGGTGCTGCATGCCAGGGCCCTGCGTGCTGTGGCAGTTGATTGGCAGAATCTTCGGGTAGATGCGCATGCTGTTTCCAAACCACTGTTGAAATTCCTCGCTGCCCAGCAGCCCGTCCCCTGCCGGAAACGTGGCAACCGTGTTTGTGTCCTTGCGCGTGATGGTGAGGCGGGCGTGGTGCTTGTCCACTTTGGTGCCGACGACAACGACGTGTGGCGGTGTCTGGCTGCGGTACACGGCCTGGTGCAGGCGCGTGTTGATGAAGCGGAGCCAGTACAGCAGCGAGCGCGTCACCGTGCCGGGGTCCTTGGACAGGTCCACGCACACGACAAAGACGGCGTTGTGGTCCGCAAACAGCAGCTCGTGCACCACGTGATAGTCAAGCTGTCCCGCAAAGTCATACACCCGTAGAGAGCACTTCTTTGACGCCGCAATTGCACGCGCAGCAGCGGCAACCGTTGCCTGCGATGCGCATGACGACGAGGATGCCGACGACGCCAGTGTGGTTGATGATGGCGACGACGATGACAGCGAGTGCGTGCGGCTGCCAGTCGGAGTAAGGCTCACACCATCGTCCTTGCAGCGCTTCATGGTGAAGTTGTGCACCTGAATGCCAGACGTCCGCTCCTCGGGGCGATCGGGCTCGTCCAGCTGCTTCCGCCGCCGCAAGCGCACCGTGTCAAACCACGACTGCGACGAGCGAAGCGCGCCAATCAGCGTCGTCTTGCCAATGCCGTAATCCCCGCACACGAACACCTTTGCAGTGGACAGGGGCACGGATCCGAGTTCCAGCAGCGCCGACAGCTCCTTCTTCCGCTGGCGGTGGCGGTAAATGGCGTGCCGAACGCGCGGCGGCAACCTGATGACCGGGGCACGAGATGTGTGAGGGGTGTGATGTGACGTGGAAATATGTGTGTGTGTGTGTGTGAAATTTGTAAGATTGGGTGTGAAAGAGGGTGTGACGAGAAGAGGAGAGAAGCGCGTGTGTGCCAGTGTGAAAGTGCCAGTGGGTGAGTGTGCGAGATTGTATAAGTCTCATGTGCGTGGTTGACTGTGTGCTGTAGCAGGTCACAATATGGCCAGTGTTTGTGCGCTACACGTACAGCTTTGCAATGGTGCGGCGCTGTGAGAAAACGTCCTCAAGTCCTGCCGCCAGCCCCTCAAGTCCGCGCGCTCCAAACCCGCTGTTGTGGAGTCTGCGGAGGCACAGAGAGAGAGAGAGAGAGAGAGAGAGAGAAAGGGAATGCGTGTGCGTGTGTGTATGCGCGACAGAAGCAGTGAGAGAGAGAGTGTGTGTGTGAGTGTGTGCGTGTGTGCATGTGGGAGAGAAGCAGAGAGAGAGAGAGTGTGTGTGTGTGTGTGCGTGTATGCATGTGGGAGAGAAGCAGAGAGAGAGTGTGTGTGTGTGTGTGAGTGAGTGTACACGTTTGCAAAAATAAACAGCATCAGATGAATAACACAGAGATGCGCATGCAAGAAAATGTGCGTGCGCGTTGGACGTTATCACGTGACACACATGCGCTTGCTACTTTGTGTGCGTGTGCGTGCATGTGCATGTGCTGATTACTGTACCCGAGGATGTGGATGGAGGTGTTGCGCTGGAGTCCTTCGCCCAGCGCGTGACCTCCAACATCGCCCAACCGGTTGTTGTCAAGACTGAAGGAGGCAGCAGAAACGGTGGAAGAGAAAGAAAGGGCAGAGGAGGAGGAGGAGGAGGAGGAGGAGGAGGAGGAGGAGAAGGAGGAGGAGGAGGTTCAGGAACGGGGTCGTGAGTGTGAAACAATCGTGCCACGCATACGCGTGTGTGCACGTGTGTGTTGATGTGGCAGGGCGAAACTAAAGCAGCGGCCGTCTGCGGGGACGGGAAAACGCCACACAAGGGACAGCGACAATATGGGTAGGGTTAACTGACTGCAGCTCTCGCAGGATGGTGTTGCGAAGAAGCGCCTCCCCAATCGCATAGCCGGCCAGCTCGCCAAGTCGGTTGTTCTTGAGACTGCAATGACACACACGATGCAAACAAAAACATCACAACAAACATCAAACACATGTGAGACAAGCCGCAGGCGGACAAGTGACAGACACCACAGGAAGCCCAGCAACCACCACCAGGAACAACGGCAGCAGCAACATGAGCAATGGCCAACGCACTGGAGTTTCGCGAGCGACATGTTGTGCTTGAGGGCGTTTCCAATGGCCTGGCCCGCCTCATCGCCAATCAGGTTGTCATCGAGGCTGCAAATGACAAACACACATACACGTGCGGTCGTGAGTGAGCACGGGAAGGTTGCTGGAGGAAGTCATTGCTCCACTGAAACACATTCGCTTGCAAATCCCCACAGAGCACCACACACACACACACACACACACACACACACACACACACACACACACACACACACACACACACACACACACACACACACACACACACACACACACACACACAACGCGCGCGGGGGGGGGCTATTGCGACTGACATGAGTTTGTGGAGGGCGAGATTGGTGACGAGACCTTCGCCAACGGCACGGCCGCCCTGGGGACCAAGCCTGTTGCCCTTCAGACTAATGGAGGCAGAGGTGGATTGTAATGGTGGTGGTGGTGGTGGTAGTAGTAGTAGTAGTGTGAGCATGAGTTCAGGAGGAGCACACGGGAGCTGGAGCAACAAAACGAGACAGTCAACGCATTGCATGCCAAGAAGGCGGGTACGGGCGCTCACTTGAGCTTGCGCAGGGCCCTGTTTTCCTTGAGCGCTGTTCCGAGTGCACGACCGGCATCTCCGCGAAGGCGATTCCCGCGCAGGCTGAAGGGGGGAGGGGGAGGGGAGGCAGGGTGTGAGTGAGTAACTGTGCGCGAACGAAGCGAGTGTGTACGTGAGTGTGTGGCACTTCATACGTGATTGACACCATCACAACTTACTCGAGTTCACGCAGCGCGGTGTTGCCTGCGAGGGATGCGCAAATCGCTCGGCCACCACTGTCGCCAATTTGATTGTTGTTCAGCCTGAAAGGTGTGCATATGAGAGCAAACATCGCGCGTGTGCGTGAGCGAGAAAGGCAGTGTGTGTCTATGTGAGTGCCTTTGTGTGCGTGTATGTGTGTGAGTGTGTGTGTGTGTGCGTGTGTGTCTATGTGTACGTGAATGTATGCACTGAAACAACCACGCAGTAGAACAGCGCCAGAACTGTCATCTCCACTCACTCCAGGATTTCCAGGGACTTGTTGCTTGCAAGCATTTCTGCAATTGCCGTGGCACCGAAGTCACCGATGCGGTTGTCGTGCAGTCTGCACCCCAACGAAACGTTGAACAGGAATACAAGCGAGAATGGTTGAGCGAGTGTGTATGCGCGTATTGTATGCATGTGGACGAATGCAAAGGCGCGCATACACGCATCGACGCTCATGCTTGAACTGCCAATCTCACACGCTCGCTCTCTTTCACTGATTTACACACACACAGACACACACACAGACACACACACATAAAAGAGGCGGTGTGAGCACGGCGAGGCGCACCTGAGTTCGCGCAAATGCGTGTTGGTGTTGAGCATATCCGCCAGCGCCGTCGCGCCCATGTCCGAAATGCGATTGTTGCACAAACTGCAAACAGCAGTGGTGATGGTGGGGATGTGAATGGGGGAGGGGGAGAGTACAGGCAAATGAGTGCCAGCTGCACTGTCATCGATAGACTGCTACACAGGAGTACGTTCACAAAACCGAAACCAAACCAAGCGAAACAGACAAGCGCAGTCATTACAAGACAAGCAAGGCCAGCCAAACAACCGAGCACAAGCAAGGTGCAACAGCACATACAACAGCTTGGCGAGGGCCTCTGTGTCGCCGACGATGGACGCAAACGCAGCGCAACCAGCGTCACCAAGACGGTTGTTGTCGAGCCTGGTGATTGGGTGGTGATTGGGTGGCGGAATTAGTAGTGGCGGTGATGGTGTTTGGCGATGAGCACAATGTCAACAGTGAAAGATGCCAAGCAGTTGTTGTTGTTGTTGTTGTTGTTGTTGTTGTTGTTGTTGTTGTTGTTGTTGTTGTTGTTGTTGTTGTTGTTGTTGTGTACGATGAGTGAAGGGGTGTGATGGAGATCAGGTGGGCGCAGCGACAACAGCAGCAAGTCAGAGGTCACGTACCCGAGGGACACGAAAGTACTGGCACCCTTGACGGCGAGCGCGAGAATTTCTCCAGCCGATTCACCGAGCTGGCACTCAAACAAACTAGCACACACGTGGAAATGTGGACAAGAGGCATGACGGTTTCATGTGAGACAGCATGAAGGCGCCCCTCACAATCGCTGCACATCAGAATCCGCACAACTGCGGACGGACACACAGCACAACATACAGCACACCACAGTATAACACACACACACACACACACACACACACACACACACGTGTCAAACACCGTCTATACACACACACACACACACACACGTGTCCAGCACCGCCTATACACACGCACGTGTCCAAACACCGTTTATACTTACTCGACAAGTGTTGGGTTGGTCCCCTTCCACAGTTCCATAATCTGGTCCTGCACGCGTTTGCTCTTGATCTGCGACAGCTTGGCCAGAAACGCTCTTTTTGCATCACCACCACCACCACCACCACCACCACCACCATCACCATTACTGTCACCATCACCATTACTGTCATCCCCATTGCCGAGTAGAGGGGCGGCGGTGTACCACAGGCTGAATGTCTCGGCCGCGTTTGCGAACGTCACTCTCCTTCCCCGTCGTGGCAGCAGAGCACCGAGAAACCGACTGCCACTGCCACCACCACTGCCACTTTCAACATCAGCACCACTGACACTGCCACGACTGTCACCCATCAAGGCGCCATCAACTTGAAGGCGATCCAACTGAGCAGCGGGGTCACTTGCATCGGTGCTCCCACGGTCGTGACGGCCACGGCTGCTGTTGTCATTGCTGTTGGTGTTGTTGTTACTATTGGTGGTGGCGGTGGTGGGGGTAGTCTTGAATGTTACAGCAGCTTCCGCGCTCGCACGGCCAGTACTGTCAAGACTCGTGCCAGAGACAACCTGCCTGCCACTGCTGCTGCTGCTGCTCACGTTCTTCTGCTGACCACCGCTGCCATCACCGGCATCACCATGACGGCCAGCAGCGACTCGAGGGCCAATACTCACACCAGCGCCACGCCTTCCACTCTCATCACCATTATCATCATCAGCATCACCAGCAGCATCGTCGTCGTCATCGCTGCTTGCCGGGAGGGGTGCCATCCAGTCTGATTCGCGGCACGCGTCGTGGAACAGCGCAATGTGCAGCGGGCGCACGCGGTGCTTGAGCAACGACCACACAGAGAGCACGCCGCCCACCTGTTGAAAGGCCGCGTCGCCCTCGCGAAGCAATATGGCGCGAAGATGAGCCATGGTGTGCACGCCGTTCTTCTCCAGCGCAACGCCGATGCTGTGCAGCAGGTCGCGCGCATCCAGCCACTTTGTCAGGCGCTCGTCCAAGCGCTGCGGTACTACCCGCAGCGCGCGCGGTGGCTGCGATGGCTGCCGTGGCGCTGTTGGGTTCGCTTGTGCATCTTTCAGTCGAGACACAATCTGCTGCACTAGATTGCGGGGAATGGGTGGTGCTGGTGCTGATGACGAGGCGGCGCCGTCCCTCCATAGAAAGTATGAGATGTCATCTGGGAGCCGGAATCGCGTGTCTGGCACCTCGAATCGGTCGCACATCTTGATGAGGAAGAACGGTTTGTTCTCGTTGATGATGAAGCGCAGCTCTTCAAAGGTGCTGAACTTGGCTGGCGTCGGCTGTCCGTACGTGCGCGTGCCCATGATGACGGCGAGCTTGCACGCGTCCAACGCGGCCACAATGTTGCTGGAGATGTCGTTGCCAGGCTCGACGTCGCAGAGAAAGCAGGTCAGCCTGTGCTGCGTCTCCAGCTGCCGCTTGAGCTCTTTTCCGGCTGCCCCCGCCTCGGAGAACCGCAAAGAGATGAAAATCGTGGGCTCTGCTGATCCCTTTGCGGAAGCATCGCCCATCGTGGCTGTTGCCGTTTGCAGGTGGTCCCGTATCCCCGCAGGTTTCCGTGCGATACCAGCTGTTAAGCCACAGCTGGAGTCCCGCGCTTGTGGCTTGTGCCTGTGGTCACACCAAGCACCGGTGTGCCGTTGCTGGTGGTTTGGTTGTTGGTTTGGTTGTTGGTTTGGTTGTTGGTTTGGTTGTTGGTTTGGTTGCTGCTGCTGCTGCTGCTGCTGCTGTTATAATTTTCTCTCTTGCGTTTCAAATGTGGACGAGATCCGTTGGTCCGAAGCATCAAACAGCACCTCTGCTGCCGAACTATCACCCAATCGCAGTCCCTGGTGCACTGTCCCCACTCCAACAATAAGCACACAGACGCACAGATAGAGAGGCGCGCACACACCTCCTTACCACCACAACTGGACAACAGCCGAGGAGCAAAGCAGACAACAACACCCACTTCAAACAAACAGCTGCACTCTGGCTGCTGTGTTGTGCCCAAGGACGTGACGAAAATTATTCAAATCTTCCACAACTTGCCCACACTGTGCGCCACAAAGCAACGTGCGCGACGATTGCGACAAGAGCAAGCAAGCAAGCAAGCAGAGCGAGCCAGTGTTCGTGTGTGTGCTTGGCCGTGTGCGTGTGTGTGCGTTGTGTGCAACAAGCCAGTGAACGGCACTGTGTTTGGGAGCAGGTGCCACATAGAGACAGCCAGTGCTTTGGCCTAGGTTGTGCAGGAGAAAGCAGGGACATCAAGGGATTTTTTTTGTGTCGTCTGTGTGAGAAGTGTGCGTGGAGGTGAGAGATCATGCTTCTCTCCGTGCGATCGCCGCGTGCGGCGTGGCACGCTGTCCAAGCGACAGCGGTGATGCCCAGGCTGCTGGTGCTGCGACATGTGGCCATCAGCAGCAGCAGCAGCAGCAGCAGCAGCAGCAGTGAAGGCGTGAATGATGGCGCCGAAAAGCGACAACAGCCACAACATGCGCAGGGCGAGAAGGGCGAGAAGGGCCGCGGCAATGTTGAGTATGGCCTCGGTCGCATGCAGAAAGCGCAGGACTTTTTCAGGACCGTGGAAACACACATTCTAAGTGAGTGTGTGTGTGTGTGCATGTGTGTGTGTGCATGTGTGTGTGCATGTGTGCGTGTGTATGCATGTGTGTGCATGTGTGTGGAGGTATACTTCTCACAGCGAGTTGCTCATTCACCTTCATCACTTCTGTTGTTGTATGTGCTCCTTGCTGCTCCTCACCCCAACACACGCACGCCACGAACACGATTCTTCGTCCCAATGGCAGAATCAAACGCTAAACCCCTTCCCGTCGTCATCGATCGTGCCCTCAAGAATCTGGCTGCCCCAGACCTCCTCAACATCAGGTTATCAATATGTGCGCGTCTGCGTGTGCGTCTGCGTGTGCGTCTGCGTGTGCGTCTGCGTGTGCGTTTGTGATGTGTGTTGCTGGGGACGAGCGCATGTGCTGATGTGTTGCTCCACACACACACACACACACACACACACACACACACACACACACGCACACACACACACACACACTTTGCTTATGTGCGTGCAACCTCAACCTAGGCCCCGGATCAAAGCCATGGTGGGCCACAAGATCTTTGCCAAAGCCCTCAACATGGACGCAGACCTCCCCGTCACCTCCTACGACTTTTACCTTCGGTATGCCACTCTCAAGCGCGCGTTAGAGGCATGTGTGTGTGTGTTGGGGGGAGGGGTACACACGTTAAGCACCGTTCGTCACCACCGAATACCAACACCATCCTCACTGCTGTTTCCCCCACCTCCACCACGACCCCACAACCAACGTCAACGTCGTCGACAACCACAGCCTGCAGTGCTCGATGCCGGATGCGCAGCACCGCGTCCCCGTCCACGCCGTCCACCACCATCTCAAGCAGAAGAACATGACCCCAGATGACGTGCGCTACTTGTTGCGCGTGGATGCAAGCACTCATGGCTTGTGCGTGCGTGTGTGCGTGTGTGCGTGTGTATGTGTATGTGTGTGTGTGTGTGTGTGTGTGTGCGTTCGCGTGCGTGTGTGTGTGGGTGCGTGCAACATGTGCGGGGGTGCATGCAACACGTGCGTGCTTTTGTGCGTGTAACACGCATGAACCACCAACATCATATCTGTAAGTCATCCTCTCAATCCTCCCCCCGTAATGCTTGACGCCATGTGCCATGCAGGTGCTTCTTTTCACGATGATGCGCGCATATGCGCTCTGTGGAGATATCCCCAACGCCCGCACGTGCTTCGACAGCTGCGCAAACATCGTGCGTTGTTTCTCTTGTGGCGCCCGGCTGCGATGATGACATGATGCCTTTGTGATGATGCGTTTGTCTTGTTAGCGTGCATGTGCAGGTGGCGTCTGTCACGTTTGCCGTTTCGCTTTGCTTTCTTCCTACCCAATCCCGTGCACCCACACCCACACACATACACGCACATACACACATACACACATACACACATACACACATACACACACAACCTCATCCCCTCCTGCAATGCGTGTGTGCAGACGGACGAGACATACGCACAGCTTGCGCTCGCACACGCGACAAACGGCGACGCGGCCGGCATTCTCGATGTCATCACGGAGGCAGGGTGAGTCGTGGTGTCGTCTATTGTGGTGTGTTGTGGTGTGTTGTGGTGTGGTGTCGTGTTTTGTGGTGTGCAGTGTTAGCGTTGCCGGCTGTGTATGCCCTTGCAAAGTATTCACACCCAAACACCACCAATGGAATCACCAATACCACCACTACCACCCCCACTGTGGTTGGTTATTTCAGGGAGAACCGGGCTGTCAAGTCGCAGGCGACGCTGCTCGCTGCCGCTGTTGGCGAGCTCGCACATGTCGGGACAACGCGCGATGTTGAGACGGTTCGTCGTGTGTTTCCATTGCCGTGTGCTCTCCACCAGCACTTGGCGTGATTGCGATGCTTCCTGGTGTCGCTGCTGTTGCTGTTCCGTTTCATCCTTGCTGTCGTTGTCAAGACGAGAGACAGAGAGGCAGAGAGGCAGAGAGGCAGAGAGGCAGAGAGGCAGAGAGGCAGAGAGGCAGAGACAGGCACACACACACACACACACACACACACACACACACACATGCACACACAAAACACACGCGCACGCACAAACAACACACGCGCACACACACATACGCACACACACATGTACACACACACACCCATAACACTCGCCTTGTTCCCACCCAATGACCACCGCCACATGACCACGATGCAGGTGCTTGCGTCGCTAGACGGTGCTGGGGTGAAGCTTCGGCTGAGCATGCTCGACAACTACCTGCGCGCCCTCGCTGCCAAGGGCGATGCCGACGGCGTGGAGAAGCTCTACGAGTGGAAACTCGCGGTCCGTTGTCATGGCGCATGTGATGCGTTGTGATGCGATACATGGGATGGGGTGGCGTGAGTGGTGGGGTGGCATGAGTGGTGGGGTGGGTTGTGGGATGTGGCGTGGGTTGTGGGATGTGGCGTGTGGCCTATGCCATCGTGTGATGGGATGAGCGATTTGTGATGCAGTGTGCACTCGCACAAGACGTCGGTGTGTGTGGCCTCGCAAGCTCACATGACCTGCACCCTTTGCTGCTGTTGATACAAAAGGCGTTTGAAGGAATTAGCGAGGTGACGCGTCTTGAGAAATCACTCCTCGCCAGCGCCGTTTTTGGGTACGAGCACGCACACACGCTGATGCAATGTTGTATCATGGAACTGTGAGCAGAAATGACACCTCTCCCTTCAATGCCTCACACACACACACGCTTACACACACTTACACACACACTTACACACACACACACACACTTACACACACACTTACACACACACTTACACACACACATACACACACACACTCTCTCTCTCTCTCTCTCACTGGCAGCGAGGTGCAAGATGTTGCTTCGATTTTGGCGAGGATCAAATCGTCTGGGGCGGTGCAGTTCAAACCGCTCGTGAATGTCATCGAGTGAGTTGGCGACACCCTGTCCTCAATCCCGCTGCTGTCGGGAGTGTATGCATGCAACGTGTGTGATTATGTGTTTGTGTGTGTGTGTGTGTGTGTGTGTGTGTGTGTGTGTGTGTCCGTGTGTGTGCCGTTTTGAAAGGAAGAAGCACGCGTACTCTCTCCTCTTGTGTGTACGCGTGTGAAACGCGCAACGATATTGTTGTTGAATGTCGAATCTCATATTCGTGGTCGTCGCCGTCACCACAATCACCACCGTGATCACTGCATTGTTGCCTGCAAGCATTCTCGCGCTCCGCGGGGACGGTGGGCGTCTGGAGCAGCTCGTGGATATGCTGTTGGCAGAGGAGTCCATGTTCAAATCGCACGTGCGCGTGCAGGACGCGATTGCAACTGCTCTCATTCGCATCAACGACTTTGATCTTGCGGAGCGCACCCTCGTCAAGATCAGGTGCCGTGGCCATGCACGTGCTTGCAATTGTTGTTTTGCTCGCTGTGTAAGCGCACCACGTTGTTGTGAACCGTCAAACGCACGCACACCTCCTCTAACACCATTTATCTGAACACATTTATCGTGTCACACCATCGCTTACCCACCTGCTCATCATCGTCATCATCATCATCATCATCATCATCATCATCATCATCATCATCATCATCATCATCATCATCATCATCATCATCATCATCATCATCATCATCATCATCATCATCATCACCACCACCACCAACACCACCAACACCACCAACACCACCATCATCTCACACAAACTGTTTGTGCGTGTACAGGCGCGTGCTGCCGACACTGTACGGGTTTTACCACGCCGCGTTTGAGTGCCTTGCCCACGACCCCTCCGTTGTGCCGGACTCGAAGAAGCAGCGGCTGGTTGCGCTCGTTGAGGTGCGCCGACAGCTTGACATGGGGCGATGGTGGTCGTCGTGTTGTTTGACGTTTTTGTTGTTGGTGGGGGGCGGGGGCGGGGTTGAAGTTGCTCGTGTTGACCAGTCGTTGTTTGAGGTTGTTGGGGAGGGGGGTGTTGTGGACTGAAATTGTGAAGACTGTTGTTGTGGATTTCAGTTGGCTTGTCGTGATGTTTGCGTGCGACTCCTGCATGCCCCGTTTGCTGTTCCTCGATGTCGGATGTATCGCCACGGACCTCACGCACCACCATCATCACAATCATCATCGTCATATCACCACAATCATCACCGTCATGTCATCACAACCATCAACCATTTTCGCCAGTGGGGCACGGCTGCGGGCTTTGCTGATTCGCGGGAGTTCATGACGGACGTGTTCAAGGCGACGGCCGAGCTGCCCAAGACAACCAAGAAGTCAATCCAGGTAGGGAGGGGTGCTGGAGCGGAGTGGTGAGGCATTGGTGGTTAGAGTGTGCTGCAATGGGCGGGGAGGGATGCGTGTTGTGTGATCATCGCGCTTACTTCCCAACCTACACATCCGCCATCTCAGCCATCGCTCAACACCACACACACACACGCGCGCGCGCGCTCACATAAACACACAATGCACACTCTTGCATACATATCCAAAGCCCCTGTGGCAGCAGCTGCAGAATGGACGCCTGCTTGATGTCTCCGTGTGGAACGCAAATGTTCGCTCTGCTCGAAGCGCCGCCAGCGATGAAGCAAACACCATCAAGGTGTGTGCGCATGGGTGCATCGGGATGAGCGTGCAGGCTCACCTCCAATCGTCCCGTGAATTCGCATCACTTCTCACCTTTTTTCATGGACATGTGCTGCCTTTACGTGTGCGGATCGTGCTGGGCAGGCGATGGAGACCCGCGGCATTGCTGATCTGCAGACGACGTACGTCGCGCGCATCAAGAACAGACTCGACACCGACAACGTCGCCGCGTAAGCGCAGCGCCCGCAGTCTCGCCCACGCCTTGGCCAGCTTAGCTTGTGTAGCGTTCGCTTTGTGTGTGTGTGTGTGTGTGTTTGTTTATTTTTTCACGCGCGCGCGTGAGTGTTTGCGTTGGCGTGCATGTGCCTGTGTTGTTGTTTAAGTTGTTGTTGTTTAAGTTGTTTAAGTTGTTGTTTGAGTTGTTGTTTGAGTTGTTGTTTGAGCTGCTGTTGTTGTTGTTGCTTAAGTTGTTGTTGTTGTTGTTGTTGTTGTTGTTGTTGTTGTTGTTGTTGTTGTTGTTGTTGTTCTTGTTGTTCTTGTTGCTGTTCTTGTTGCTGTTCTTGTTGCTGTTCTTGTTGCTGTGTGTGTGTTTGTGTGTCAAGAACAGCGTGGCGTGTCACCATGCTAGGGGGGAAAACGGAAGCGCGATTGTCCTCACACGAACACATCATCACCATAACATAACATGTACACCGTTCCTGTTTTGTTGTGTTTCTGTTTCTGTTCTGTGTTCTCCAGCGCGAAGCAGCTGGCGATTGACGCTGTGGAAAACACCAAGAGTACAACGCGAACAGTCACCATCTTCGCCCCCATCCTCAGGTACATGTGCGTGTGGGAGACATGCGGAGACAGTTGGGGCTGTTCGTGTGTATATGTCCTCATCATTCAGAGGTGTGGACTGGCCGCAACTGTCATTGAAAGATCCTCATCACACACACACACACACACACACACACACACACACACACACACACACACACACACACACACACACACACACACTGCAGGTACATTCTGGCCACGGAGGGTGCTGGTGCCGGGCTCAACTACCTGTCGGACATTCTGCAGGTTGCAGCGCGCATGGACCTGTGCATGAACGACAGCCTGTTGGCCGCGTGGTGCGACGGATGCACTACAGACGAGGCCCTCATGGACGCCGCACACCTCCTCCGCGTACGTGCGTGTGATGAGCTTGCACGATTGGTGATGCTGCTTCTGCTCATGCAGTCGTCGTATCAGTTGTGTGTGTGTGTTGTTGTCGTGTGCGCGTGCGTTTGCGCAGGCTCATCGTGATGCCACTTGAACGACTTTAAACTCCACACCTTCTTCACGTTCGTCTATCATCTACATTCATGACGCGTGTTCTCATCTACATACCTGCATGTCTATGTATGTGCATGTTGCGTGCGTGCGTGTGTGCGTGTGTGTGTGTGTGCGTGTGTGCACAGGACGTGACGCTGCTGCCGGGGACGCTGTCGAAGATGCTGCACGTGCTCGCATGCGCCGGCAACGTCGCAGGTCAGTCTGTACACATGGCCATGCGAACGATACTGACGGTGACGGTGCTGGTTGCGACGGTAACGGTGTTGAGACGGCGTGGTGCTGTTTTGTGATGGTTGTGGTCGAAGCGACAGATGGTAGACCTTGACAATGTCAGTCGCGTGCAAGTCTCCCTGAGCCCACCACCACGCAACACATCTTCACCATTCAGGCGTGTTTGAGGTTGCAAACGGGATGGGGCCGGGCCAGTTCACGTCCGCCGCTGTTGACGCCATCCTCTCCACAGCCATCCTCGAGGTGCGAACGTCAATCACACTTGCACACATGCTCTCTCTCTCTCTCTCTCTCTCTCTCTCTCTCTCTCTCTCTCTCTCTCTCTCTCTCTCTCTCCCCCTCTGTGTGTGTGTGTGTTTGCTTTGTGTGTCGCGTTGCAGCTTGCGCCAAATTGCATTCTGCTCACGTTTGATGATGATGATGGTTACAGGGCGGCGTTGTGAACGAGGACACACTGCACTCCATCGCTCAGCTGCACGCCGCCAAATACTTCACGGTGTGCTCAGCCCCCGTCACGGATTTTGCGAGGAGGGATTGCTTTGGTGTCCATGACTGCCTCATCGTACTGTTTGCGTTGCAATTACACCACAATTCACACATGCTGACGCACAAACTCACGTGTGCACACGCGCCCGCACATTTGCATTCACACCCGTTAGATTCAAGAGAGCAACTGGGCAAGGCTGCTGTCGTCGTGCCCGAACCGCCAGCAAGTCGTCGACCAGTGCAAGGCCGTCTTCCCATCCGAGGCAGAACGTACGTTCACACGCACACATGTGTGTGTGCGTATTATGTACATTGTACGTTTGCACATCCTTCATGCTCACACCACCACTTCGATCACCACCACTTCGATCACCACCACCACCACTGCTACGCTGCCGCCACCATCAACCAATGCGGCTGTGCAGGTCTGGATGCGTTTATGCTGGCTGAGCCACTTCGCGCCGCCAAGGTCGACGACATTGTGACCATTCTTCTCGACATGCAGCTCGATGAGCAGGCCAAGGCACAGGTGCGCACGCATAGCACATGCTCGTGTGTTGACAGTGTGTATGCTGTGAATAGGTTTGCACATGCGTCACCTGTTCATCTGCTCATGTTCTTGCCCGCAACTTTCATTTATCTTGAATGCCGCCTACACACACACACTCACACTCACACACGCACACTCACACCCGCTCACACTCACACACTCACACACTCACACACGCACTCACGCACACACGCTCACACACACTCACACACTCACACACACTCACACTCACACACATGCACCTCCCCGCCACCAATGGCATGGCAACAGCTTGCGCGGGAAACGCTGGAGCGAGTTGCATCGGAGCATCCTGCCAGTGCTGTTCGCTTGGCCGAAGAGCTCGCAGTCGACAAGATCCTCTCGCACGTGCGTATGCCAGTGCTGTCGTTTGTGGCTGTGCTTGTCGTGATCGTCGTCGTGGTCGTCGTCGTGGTCGTCGTCGTGGGATAATAGTGGCGGCACACGCCCGCTTGACGCGCTTTGATCGGCTCCTCACATTCGCTCTTGTGAATCACACACACACACACACACACACACACACACACACACACACACACACAGGCTGATGCACTGACGATTGTCGCGTCGCACTTCTTCGCGCCGGAGTTTATTGAGAGCAACCAAGAGCACGTGCGAGCGCTTGTTGCCCGCATCGTCCAGGCAGGCGTCGAGACCGCCATCCCGAGCCCGCCCAACCACCTCTTCCAGGTCCGCAGCCGTCGCGCACGCGCGCGTGTGTGCGTGAGAGAATGGGTGTGGGTGGGTGCGTTGTCTATTCTGCCTGTCTCTATGTGTGCAAGTCCTCTTTCCATGTTCATCTCTCACTCTTCCCTGCTCCAACCCATCCGCCATCACGACCATCCACCACCGCGACCATCCATGACTCCATGGCTGCGCCAGTCGGTCCTGCCATCGTCGTCTCCGCGCGACGCCGCCCGCATTCTCAAGCTCGCATGCGCCACACCAAAGGTCCCGAGCTGCTGCTACTTCTGTGTGTGTGTGTGTGTGTCTGTGCATGTGTGCGTGTGCGTGTGCGTGTTATGCGAGTGACACACACATACACACATGCACACATACACACATTCACACACAAACACAAACACACATACACACACACACACAAACACAAGCTGTTTCACCCATACACATCCGTGCACACCACGCCTCCCCTGCTTACGCTTCCACTTTGTGTGACATTATTGCCCCTTTGCTGTCATCTGCTGCTTCAGAGCGCAAGCAAGACGCAGGCGATGGTGGACGGGCTCGCCAAGCTGATCAAGGGCAACGCGGTGCGTGACGGGAGATGTGGGTGGTGACATTGCAATGGCCTGAGATGGATTGCTGGGCGACGCAATAAGTTGATCAACAGGATGTAGGTTTTCACTCACCCACACACCACTCACACAACACACATCATACGCATACACCACAACACATACACATACGAAACGAATTGACGCAGGAGGCGCGTGAGACGCTCGGTGCAGAGCTGCAGAACTTGAGCGTCAACATTCCGTTCGCCCTCGCGTCGCGAACCGTCGACAAACTGCCACTGGTGCGCACACGACACACACACACACACATGAAAACGCACACACACACACATGAAAACACACACACATACATGGACACGAAGCACGTGGTTGTGTTGGAGTTTACCCTTTGTTTGCTGTGTGCTGATGTTCTGAGGATTTGAGATTTATCGTGTGTGTGTGTGTGTGTGTGTGTGTGTGTGTGTGTGTGTGTGTGTGTGTGTGTGTGTGTCAGCACTCATCCAGAAACCAAACACAAGCCCCCCCCCCCACCACACACACTGACGCACAAATCCGCATACATCCGCACCTCTTCAGGCCACAAATGCGCTGTTTGCGTTCCTTCCACTGTCCCTGAAGAGCCGGCACATGGGCAACCGCGCAGCCCGCTCGTCCATCGGTGCGAGTGCATTGCATGCGTGCGTGCATGTGTGTATGTGTGTGCATGCATATATGTACATACATGTGTGTGTGTGCGGTGTGTTGGAGCTTCTGTTTTTCGCAATCCCTCGTTCACCGCGTGCTGCTTTGGTTCAGACGCCGCCGCTGATTACCTGAAGGAGAACCCGAAGGAATTGGTGCGTTAACGCTCATACACACACACACACACACACACACACACACACACACACACACACACACACACACACACACACACACACAATATCTGTGTGTTTCTCGACTTGAATTGCCGTCTTGAGAACTGCATGCACATATGTTCAGGAGTACCACTCACCGCCGATTCATTATTCCCTTCTCGTTTTCTCGTGGCTTGCAATAGCCCAATGTGCTTCTCAGTTTTGCACACTCGCGGCACAAGGGCAAAGCCTCCATCGTCGCCCCAGCCAAGAAGCTCCTTGAAAAGGGTACGCGCGCCCCCTCACACCAATTGCCTGCAAGCACGCATAGCATCTCCACCACACTGTCGTGACGCAATCACGAGCAGCAATTTTGCTGTGGAACGCACAACCTACACCCCGTTGCTCACACAAGAACATGCTCTTCAAACACGCACAAAACCCCATCCCCCTCCCGCTTCCCTCCTTGCCTGACACGGGCGCAGCCGACGTCGCTGTGACGCGGGAGACGATGGAAGAGCTGCTGCCACGACTGTCATCGAACCGACGCAGCGATCAGCACGTGGCGCTGGCGCTGCTGCAGTATGCAGGCAGCACTCTCGATGAGGTCGTGGATGCGTTGAACTTTGCTCATTGATATTGGGTGGCGATTGATTGTGGGCGGTCGTTGGTGTCATCGTGTTGCGCTTCCTCTCGTCCGTGTGCAGCTCCCGTGCGTTGCGTTCACTCATCTTGCTCTCCTGGACTGCTGCTCTTTTTCGCTTTGTATGTGTGTGTGTGTGTGTTGTTCGCACATCAGGACCACCGTGCTGCCCTGGAGGATTTGTCGCAGCAGCTGAGCATGCGCGCAGGCGACAACGATGCAGGTACACCGTTTGAGTGGCGGTGCATGTTTCTGTCCTGCACGTATCTGTGTTTGTACTTGTATGTGGGCTTGTGCATCCGTGTGTTTGTGAGTTGGGTTTGCATGTGAGTGGGTTGTGCTACACACAATATGTTGTGCAACACACAATTTGTGTTGTGCTGCGCGCACACAGCGATTTACAAGCATTGCCTGTATGATCCGAATATCACGCGCCCTCACATGACACCATCACCATTGTTATGCCATCAGTGGCCAAGTTCCTGCAAAAGAACGAGGCGGAAGGCGCAACCATGTCCCTTGCCGACTTTGCTCAGGTGAGAACAGCATGAACACATTCGGACACTGCTGTGGCAAACCCTGAGCAGCATGTATCGATTGCATGAGCCCACGCATTAGTCTGCAGAGGTTAACTCACACATTCTCATGACCCCCATTCCCCCATAATAACAACCTTCATTACCAACACACGCATCAACTCACGCACACACTCATCAACCCACACTTGCTTCTCCACCGTGGCTGCGGGGCAACAACAGCTGTTCCGCGCTCGGTTCCAGGACGCCGATTTCCTGCTCTCGATGCTGAAGCGCGCACCAGAGGCACGTGCACTGTTTGGTTGTCCTGCCAAGCAGACGCTTTTGGTGTTCATTCCTCTGTGGTTTTAAACCAGCAGTGCGATGCCGGATAAACCGCACGCATGCACGACTGCACGCGGTTGCATTCACGTGTGGTGGCTCAACCTCATTCTGTCACACACACACACACACACACGCACACACACACACACACATCTGCTGACACTGATGCACACACACACACACACACACACACACACACACACACACACACACACACACACACACACACACACACACACCTGCTGACACTGATGCACACGCGTGCACCCAATTGCTGGTGTTTAGGTGTGCCCTGGCCCGTGGACCGACAAGCAGCACGTAGAGCAGATTATCTTCGCCCTCATTTACCATCGCCAGAACAAGCAGTGCATGCAAGAGGTGCGATATAACACGTGGGTGTTAAATTGAATTGCCAGCTCCAGCACAAACGCACATGTACACGCAATTGTAAGCGCACATACACACACGCACGCACACTCACACACACACGCACGCATATTCACACACGCACGCACACTCACACACGCACGCATTTTCATACACGCACACAGGTTGAGCGCTTGTTGGAACAGCACATGCCACTGACGGACTCGCTCAAGGAATCGCAGCTGCAGCTGTACATCAACATGTACACGCGCACAAACCGCGTCGACGCCGCCATGACGGTGAGGGGGGGGGACAGCAACAGGAGTCGTTGCGGTTACAATGATGCATATGGCGGTTCACAGTGTACTCCTGTTTTGCTGTCATTACGTGTCCGTCCTTCATCATCCAGACGTCACTCCAGACAACACCTTCCACTCATCACCACCATTCACCACACTGCCACCACCATTGCCAACAGGTTTTCCAGCGGCTGGAGCGTCCGGACGAGCGGAACTTTATCGACATGATCCGCGCCCTCCGCGACGCAGAGCGCATGCAGGAGGTAAGCACGCATTTACACACACGCACACGCACACACATGTACATGACAACATGGATGCTTCTTCATATTCACACACACACACACACACACGAGACTTACCACACATACGTACACGATCCTCCCCCCCCCACACACACACACAAACGCCACGCCTTGCAGTCTGTGGAGTTTCTTGAAAAGTACCTGCGCGAGTGCAAAGGAGCAGAGAAGCAGCACATGATGCTGAAGGAAATGTCTACACATCTTGACCGTGACAGCTTTGACACCGTCTTCCAAGCGTGCATCAGTGCAGAGGTCTGCCCGCCCACTCCCGCCGCCATCACGTCACTCACCCTCTCAACCCCACGCTTTGAACACGTGCCATTGTGCTTGTCGCGACTCTCCCCTCTGCTCCTTTTCGCTCTTCTCTGCACTCGTTCCCCCTCGGCCGCTCACCTGCTCCCTGTTGTACCACCACCATCACCACTGTCGCCGTCATCATCATCACCACCACCACTACAGCTCGTGCCCCCGCCACGCTTTATCCAGCGCCACTTCCAGGCCCTGTTCACCGACAACGCAACATCGGCAGCTGCTCGCCTCGAGGAGGTGGGTGCCTTGCTGCATCATGTTTGTTTGTTTGTTTGTTTGTTTGTTTGTTTGTTCGTTCGTTTGTTTGTTTGTTTGTTTGTTTGTTTGTTTGTTTGCGCTCTCCTCTCGCACGCAGCTGTTTTGACCTGCGCGGTTTGTTCTTCCCTCTCGTTTGCTTGCCTCCATTTGTTGCTTGCTTGTTGTCTTCCTCAGTATTTGGGCACCATCACCGAGGACAGCGAGCGCACGCGCATTGTCGACATGTACATCGATGCTGCACTCTCCACCAAGCACCTTGCCCAGGCTATTGAGGTCAGCCTTTTTCAATGGTGCCAATGACACACACACACACATACACGCACACACACACACACACATGCACGCACGCACGCACGCAAACACGTGTACGGTGTTCTTGACACTGATCATCTCTGCTTCACAGCCGACCTCACTTGTGTGTGTGTGTGTGTATGTGTGTGTTGTATTGTGTTGTGTCCCTCCATGGTCCGTCCTGCCCCCTCCCTCATCTTGTTCTTCACCTCCTCTGCCTCATCGCCAGTGTGTGCAACACCACCCCACGCTGACGCGGGAGTCGCACATCCTGGACTGCAGCCGGCGCGCCGTCCAGTTCCGCCAGCACCGCGCAGTGGAGACGCTCGCCCGCCTCGTCGCAGCCGAGGTGATGATTGTCGTGGATTGGGTAGATTGGATGGCTGGGTGGTGGGGATGTGTCGTGACGGATTGTGCTTGCGTGTGCATGTGGCTTTGTGTGCATGCCACTGACGCTGATGATGATGCTGTTTGATTCCACCAGTCATATTCGCAGGAAGCGAAGGAGGCGGTGATGCTTGACCGCATGCGTGTGTACAGCCGACTTGGGCAACTCGATGACGTTGTGGATACGCTGTGGGCGGATGTTTTCGCCACCATGAAGCCATCGGTCGAGTTTTTGCGTGCCGCTTACGTCATCTGGGAGGACAACGCAGACGCTGTACGTGCACGTGTGTGTGTTCATGTGCGTGTGTGTGTATGTATGTGTGTGTGTGTGTGTGTGTGTGTGTGTGTGTGTGTGTCTTCGGAGTGCACTGCAAGTGTTTTGTCGTGCGCATGCTGGCGCCCAACTCACCCTTGCCCCCCTCCCCATCTCAATGGCACAGGACTTGAACCGCATGCAGTTGATTCTTCAGCAGCACCTGGGCACCGAGATGCCGCAGTCGTGAACAACTGATTCAAGCATCCCGTTCACGCGCAAGAGCAGGAGAGAAGAAAGGGGATGGATGACACGGGGGTTGAGGCGTTCGTTTGTATGTGGTTGTGTCAGTTTGCGTGCGTCTCTTTGTGTGTGTGCTTGCGTGTGTGCATGTGCATGTGCGTGTGCGTGTTTTTTCTTCAGCAAGAATCAAACCAACTGTCGTTGCTACCCCTTCTCTCCTCCTTGCTTGTTAGTCAGTGTGTTTGTTCGTTTTGCATCGTGTATGATTGGCTGTAAACCCTTATTGCACCAACCAGCACTGTGACAGCACAGTTGCGCGTTGTGGTGTGTGTGTGTGTGTGTGTGTGTGTGTGTGTGTGTGTGTGTGTGTGTGTGTGTGTCTGGGTTGCTGTGTAGGTGGGAATGTCCGTGTGTCGCAGTGTCACAGCAGCAGTTGCCGAGCAAGAGATGGTGATGTGTTCCTTGATGCCTTCGCGCGTCTGAGGGAGGGGAGTGTCGCGAACTACGAACTTGCGATATGGAGTCCTGTACTGCTTCAATGGTTCACCCGCGGTCATGCTGTCAAGTAAAGACATGCCCTCGAGCGCTCAAC